TGTTCACTGAAAAAAACAGCAGTCATCCAAGTATGGACTAATTTGGCCTAAAACAGCTGTCGACAGAGGACAAGATGCATGTGACACAGAAGATATAATACTAATGGTGATGGAAATTACCCCCATCTACAGATTTATTTGGGTTTTTTTTTTTAAAATGTGTTAAAAGCAGTCATGGGGCTGCTTGGTCTTTGAAGCATGACAAACCCTCCCAAAAAAAAAAAAAAAAAAAATGTGAATTTCTGAGCTTCAACTTTGTTCGCTTGAAAAACAATACATGGCACTATATATACAGTGAGGAACAGAAGTATTTGAACACCCTGCGATTTTGCAAGTTCTCCCACTTAGAAATCATGGAGGGGTCTGAAATTCACATTGTAGGTGCATTCCCACTCAGAGACAGAATTTAAAAAAAAATTCAGGAAATCACATTGTATGATTTTTAAAGAATTTATTTGTCTTGCACTGCTGAACATAAGTATTTGAACACCTGAGAAAATCAGTGTTAATATTTGGTACAGAAGCCTTTGTTTGCAATTACAGAGGTCAAACATTTCCTGTAGTTCTTGACCAGGTTTGCACACACTGCAACAGGGATTTTGGCCCACTCCTCCACACAGATCTCATCTAGATCTGTCAGGTTTCGGGGCTGTCGCTGAGCAACACGGAGTTTCAGCTCCCTCCAAAGATGTTCTATTGGATTTAGGTCTGGAGACTGGCTAGGCCACTCCAGAACCTTGATATGCTTCTTACGGAGCCACTCCTTGGTTATACTGGCTGTGTGCTTCGGGTCGTTGTCATGTTGGAAGACCCAGCCACGACTCATCTTCAATGCTCTGACTGAGGGAAGCAGGTTGTTGCTCAAAATCTCACAATAAATGGCCCCATTAATCAACTCCTTAATACAGTGCAGTCGTCCTGTCCCCTTCACAGAAAAGCACCCCAAAGCATGATGTTACCACCATCATGCTTCACAGTAGGGATGGTGTTCTTGGGATGCAACTCATCCTTTTTCCTCCAAACACGACGAGTGAAATTTAGACCAAAAAGTTCTACTTTGGTCTCATCTGACCACATGACTTTCTCCCATGCCTCCTCTGGATCATCCAGATGGTCATTGGCAAACTTCAGACGGGCCTGGACATGTGATGACTTGAGCAGGGGAACCTTCCGCGCAATGCATGATTTGAAACCATGACGGCGTAGTGTTCTACCGACAGTAACCTTAGAAAATGTGGTCCCAGCTCTCTTCATGTCATTGTCTCCTCCCTTGTAGTTCTGGGCTGATTCCTCACCTTTCTTATCAGTGATACCCCACGAGGTGAGATCTTGCATGGAGCCCCAGTCCGAGGGAGACTGACAGTCATCTTTAGCCTCTTCCATTTTCTAACAATTGCTCCAACAGTTGATCTATTTTCACCAAGGTCCACAATTTTGTCTCTGGTGTCTTTTGACAGCTCTCTGGTCTTGCCCATGGTAGTAGTTGGCATCTGACTGACTGTGGGGTGGACAGGTGCTACTAAGTTAGATTAATGAGTGGAGTAGAGGTGGACTTTTTAACGGCACAGTAGCAGGTCTTTGAGAGCCAGAATTCTTGCTGTTTCTTAGGTGTTCAAATACTTATGTTCAGCAGTGCAAGACAAATAAATTCTTTATAAATCATACAATGTGATTTCCTGAATTTTTTTTTTTAAATTCTGTCTCTCAGAGTGGGAATGCACCTACAATGTGAATTTCAGACCCCTCCATGATTTCTAAGTGGGAGAACTTGCAAAATCGCAGGGTGTTCAAATACTTCTGTTCCTCACTGTATTTAAAATAGAAGTGGGCCACGGCACATGCTTATATTGGCCTGGGAACAATCCGTGAAAGGGGTACTGTATGTAGAATACATATGGTCTTGAGAAAGGTGGGCTGTGTGCTGTTGAAACGCTGACATTAAAAAAGAAAAAAAAAAAAAAACACATTAGAAATTCTTCCTGCTGCCATTCCTGACGGGCACACTCATTGTCTGCTTCAATATATACAGTATACATACAAACACACAAATGCTTTTATAGGAAAGCATTATATAACAGGACTCGGCGAATCCCAGGCGCCATGGGGACCAGAAATCACGTCCCGGCGCTCGGGATCCCACCAGTCCATCCAACGGGCAACTCATCAAGTAGCCGCCCACTGAGCTCCTCACCTTCTCTCCTCCATGGGCCGCATATCCCATACCTACCTTGTGTGGGGAGTGATGATTGGGCAGCCTGTCATCCTCCCTCTCCATTGGTCGGAGCTTCCTGACTCCTTTAGGCCCTTCCTCAAATGGGAGGGGAGCTGGGAATGGTGGCTTCTCTGATTGGCTGCCTGGGAAGATGGCGAGGACGGCACATAGAGGAGCTGACAGTAAGCCCCAGTGGGCCCAGGAGTTGGCTGAACTCTATTCCCCAAGTGAGAGGAGACACCCCAGGCACCTGCCTTCCTGTGGTCTCTGCCTTTTCCCTTGCCCAGCACCTCCCTTCCTGCCTCAGTGATCTCCTTTGCACACTGCACACACTGGAGGGAGAGGAAAAAAGGCCTAGAGCCACAGCCGCACCACCTCCCAGCTCCTCCCCCAGCTCTGTCTCCCAGCTTCAGACACTTACTGGCTTGCAGCTGCTCCTGAGTCCTGTCGGCAAGGCAATCTATGAGTAGGGGCATTAAAATAAGGGGGGGGGGGGAATCTTTCTAATCTAATGGAGGTCTCTAAGGGGGAAGGGGACTGTGAGCTAATGGGGGTCTCTAAGGGGGGATGCTGACTGCTGCTAATCAGAACCCCTCCCCCCATTTGATCAGAGTCCCCCTATATCATCATCATTCCCTTAGAGACCTCCCATTAAATCAGAGTCCCTTTATATTAGAACCCCCTTAGAGACCCCCCCCCATTAGAGTCTCGTCACATTAGCACCCCCTTAGAGACCCCCCCATTAGATTACAATACCTTCATATTAGCACCCCCCTTAGAGACCCCTCCCATTATATCAGAGTCCCATTTGATCAGCGCCCCCCTTTAGAGATCAACGGTTGGTCATCTCTGTCGCTGAAAACAAAGCCTTGCCAGTCAAAAAAAAAAAAAAAAAAAGGCTCCTAACTTTATCTGGCTAATAGATTCAAAGGAAATTTGTCAAGCCCTGTTACAGAATAAATTTTTTTAAATTTGGTGACTCTCAAAAGAACTTACAGTTGACATCATGACATCAAGCCTTTTTGCCGTAAACAGTAAAAGCACTGTAAGTGCATAGCAAGTTCGAAAATTCCTTTCATATGCAAGATATTAACACTAAGAGGAGAGAGACATTTTAAAACTGTACCCAGACTGATATTCACCAAATACCCCGCTGGCTTTCATCACTTGGAGACTTCAATGACTAGCTTCTACAATGTGGTGTGTGTCTCAGCCAGTCCACAAGGCTATAAAGGAAGGTATCGCCATCTTAAAGCTGGATTTGTCTTCAGGTCCTATTCACACTTGTCCGTTTTAAAAAAAGAAGTGCATTTCCTGAGAACGTACCCAGTTTGCCCTTGAAGCTGACCTAACAGATAGGTTAGGTCTCCAAAGTGCACTTAATCCTTTAACCACTTCCTGTCCGGACACTTTTACCCCCTTCCTGTCCAGGGCAATTTTCAGCTTTCAGCGCTATCACACTTTGAATGACAATTGCGCGGTCATGCAACACTGTACCCATATGAATTTTTTACCATTTTTTTGAGACAGATAAAACTTTATTTTGGTGGTATTTATTCACCACTGGGATTTTAATTTTTTTGCTATGTAAATGAAAACCTCCAAAAAGTTTGAAGAAAAGTGTTTTTCTTATAAAATTTTGCAAATAAATAATAATCTTTCATCATAAATCTTGGCCGAAATGTATTCCATTATCTTTTTAGTAAAAAAAAAAAAAATAAGCCAAATTAGTTTATAACCAAAAATTATAATTTTTAAACATTTTTTTCACATTTTTATATTATTTTTTTTTTTTTTTTTACATACTGTCACCCTAGCAGTACAGTGTCACCATGGTGACACTGTACTACTTGTGGGGGGTGATAAAGATTTTTTTTATTTTTTTTTTTTTTTACAGCGATTGCTTTTACACCCATATAGGATGTAAAAGCAATCATTTCTCTTTCTCTCTTTCTGCATTCTTGCAGCCATTGAGAACTACTGAATGAGCTGTGATTGGTCACAGCTTGTCACATGGTACAAGGCTGTTGTGAATAGCCTTGTACCATGTGACCTCTGATCATTCACAGATTTCACACGTAGTAAGCAATGATGTCACAAGTGATATTTTGCTTACTACTTTGCATGTGATCACTGATTGGCCAATCAGCGATCACATGATCGGGACCTCGTACAGGGGTCCCGTCTGACGATCGGTGTTTCACTGTGTCCGGAGGACACAGCGGGCACCAGATCGTGGTGCTGCACGCTCCCAGGGAGCGCGCACAGCTAGAAATGACGGGTGCCGCTTATGAACGGTAACCCGTCCCTGGAGTGCCTCCGTCCTGCAGTTTATAAACAGCAGGCGGACGGCAAGTGGTTAATGCATCAAAAGGCTCACATTTTGCTGCATGAAAATGCAATCAAATAGAAATCTCATCATTTCCTATGGAGTTGTTCACATTTATACATTGCAATTTAAAGGGGAACCATGAGCCTATTCACACTTACACATGTGCGTTACAGCACAACATGCAACACACTGAACCACATGAGTCCAGCTAAAGTGGCCTCAGCAGCTGAGTGGAAAATTCAACTTTGGAGGGCAATATATTGCCACAGCTATACAGAAATCCAGCATGTGATTCTGGGGAACAGAAATCCTAGGACTCTGTCCACAAATTATCAGCATGAATAGGACTAACATTACCATAAAAAGAGGCGCCAGACAGTAACATGAAATAAATAGTACACATAGCATGAAGGAACAGTGGGGGGGACAGACCACCTGCAGCCAGTCACTACTGACCTTCTCCAGCTCTCTGGGTATTCTCAGACAAGTGTACACCCGCTCTCTCCTTTCCTTGTATTTTGCTTCATTATGTTCCAGGAAGTAACCCCGGGTGAGTTCAGCGCTGATAAACCTGAATAATGAAAGATCTGAAAGAACAACAAAGAAAAGAGTCAAAAAGGAGAAAAACAATTAAAAAGCCTGATATCCTTGTAAAGAAAAAAAAAAAAAAAAAAAAAAAAAAAAACCACACACCTTTACTTCTACCCCAGTTTTCCAAACAGATTTTCTGTGCACGGTCACACCGGATGCGACTTGCAACTCGCATGCTATTGTCTGCAATTAAAGCAGACATCAGTGCGATTCCGACTAGGTCAGAGCCGCACCAATTTCTAAAGTAATGCATGCACTTCTTCAGGTGCGGCTTGCATAGACACCTGGGCAGATGTCTTTCAAGTCGAATGACATCCGACTTTGAAATCGTGCGACTTCCAGTGAAAAGTCAGGTCAATGTGACCGGGTGTTAGAGCACTGCAATGTTTGTTAGTTAAAGTGGACCTTTCCAAGACTACATTTCCTACCCCTTGCAAAATCCAATGAAAAAAACTTGACTTTTGTCATTTTTTTCAGTTCCTCTAACATTTTTTTTTCTAATTCACAGCCCAGCCCGCCATTTCTAGTCCACCAGGTAGTACTGGAGGAGGATGAATCTGGCACGCGTCATCATGGGATCAGCTGCAAGAACCTGAAAGACAGGTGACTTATGAGGATGTTGAAGAGAAAGATGTTGGCGCTGGACCTGGTGTGACTTGTTGAGTGTGTATGTTTGAGTAAGAAAGGTAAGAGGGGATTTAAAAAAAAAAAAAATAAAAAATACATGGGGGGGGATTCTTTAACTTTACATATTGCCCAAGCTCTGAAAAACATAATTTGACAACCTGGTTTCTCGTTAATGACACCACAACCACATCCAAAAAGCCAGAAAACCATAGTCACCCTGCCCCATAATTTATAGATGCCAATATCCTATGATACAACAGAATGCACTACAGATGGACCTGAGGGAGAGGAAACTATTTTTTTTTACTTTTTTCATTATTATTATTCAGCATTTATACAGCGCCAGCAGTTTACACAGCGGTTAACAACGTCAGGACAGACATTATACATTACAATACAGGAGGAATCAGAGTCCTGCTCGTTACAGCTTACAATCTAAGAGAGAAGGTCAAGAGATACAAAAGGTAATAACTGTGGGGGACGGGCTGATGGAAAAATACATGTACAGTTGTTAGGAGGAGGCAGGATAGGCCTCTCTGGAGAGGTGAGTTTTCAGGGATCTTCTAGGTGGACAGAGTAGGAGATAGCAAGACAGATTGGGGTGATGAGTTCCAGAGGATGGGAGAGACTCAACGGAGCTTGAAAGCATGAGGTCCAGGGAGGAACGAAGAGAACGATTAGGTTGGTATTTTGAGACTAGGCTAGTGATGTAGCTGTACTCTTTTCTCCTTTGTTTCTTACTGATCCTCTTTTCAATAACTCCTTTATTACCTTCCCTCACCATATTTCTCCTTCCCCTACCACCCTCCCCCATGACTATCATATCGTCCTTCCATTGCCCCCAAACCCCTACCCCCACCCCCCGTGTTACACGTTTCCTGCTCTTAAATATACAAATTTTTTTCTTTAAATAATGTTCCAAGTTCTACAAATTGTGTTGATATTCTAGCTTTCTTAGCACTGTACTAATGCCAAGTCCATCAAGTGGTATGGATCTGTCTAAATGTCCCCTTTGCTGGAACACCAGGACAAGTTGTAACATAATACAGTCATGTTCCTGGCAACCACTGCAAAGAGCTCAATGTCACCTCTTCAGACTCATTCATAGGCATCTCTCATTAGGCTAAGAAGTTGAATTGTGTCATTATAACAAAATAAGGCTAAAAGCCAGAAAAAAGAATGAATCAAAGAAAACCGAACATTTCTCACATTGAGCAAACACCAGCTTCACGTTGCAGCATTGAAATGATCTCATACCATGAAGGTTTTTGGAAAAAAATAAATACAGCCAACTCCAAAGCAAGGTTTAAATAACTCCTTGAAAGCATTTGTTTAAAGCCAACTTCTCTTTTGTGAAATATAAACTACGGCTTTAATTTAAAAGGATTTTTCATTTTTGAACCAACTCCTCTAAAGTTTGCGTGTAAGCAGCCAGCTTCTTTCCTGCCAGGTTATGATTTGAAGCTCATGGAAGTGCCATACACTGGGAAATACATATGATTTACAGCAGTGGTAATCAACTTTGATATGGGGGCCTCAGGTGCAGCCTCCGACATCTTCAAAGAGCCGTACATAAAACTAAAGGAATATTCATTCACAGAGGCAGCAGACACACAACAGGAGACGGTCAGGGACTGCAGCCCTGACGCAGGAGCGGGTCAGGGACTGCAGCCCTGACGCAGGAGCGGGTCAGGGACTGCAGCCCTGACGCTGACGCAGGAGCGGGTCAGGGACTGCAGCCCTGACGCAGGAGCGGGTCAGGGACTGCAGCCCTGACGCAGGAGCGGGTCAGGGACTGCAGCCCTGACGCAGGAGCGGGTCAGGGACTGCAGCCCTGACGCAGGAGCGGGTCAGGGACTGCAGCCCTGACGCAGGAGCGGGTCAGGGACTGCAGCCCTGACGCAGGAGCGGGTCAGGGACTGCAGCCCTGACGCAGGAGCGGGTCAGGGACTGCAGCCCTGACGCAGGAGAGGGTCAGGGACTGCAGCCCTGACGCAGGAGAGGGTCAGGGACTGCAGCCCTGACGCAGGAGAGGGTCAGAGGCTGGGGACATGATATAGGAATTGTTGGAAACTGGGAACATGTTTCAAGAGAGTCACAGACTGGAGACACATTACATGAGACTGCAAAGATGACTGCTATGGGGGAATAAGGGAAACACAGACTAGTGTCTGAAGGGGCCCCAAAGGCAGTACAATAAGGGCCAAAGGGCTTCATGTAGCCCCTGGGCCGCAGGTTGGGCACCAGGGGCCTACAGCAATGAATGCGATTTTGTAAACACAAACCATCATAGCAGTATGTGTATAAAAGGTGGGTGACATCTTACAAACAATATTGTATTGGGTGTAATAGAACTTGCAGTCTAATGCCCACAATACAAAGGATTTGCAGCTGCACCAGCAATCACAGCCTGTTGTATTCTGGAATGTATAAAATAAATGCTGGATCATTGTGTTTTCAGCACAGATGTCTAATCAGAAGAATTTGTGTACAGTTATGGATGGCTTTTGTTCACCTGGCGAGCTGGAGTTTATATCTAGGCCGACAATATACACCATTGCGTCACTGTGCTATTCATTTTTGTGTCCCAAAGCTCTTAAAAAAAAAAAAAAAAAAAAAAAAAAAAAAAGTTGCATGCATCATGGACAAGAGGTTAGAAAATTGAGGTCCCAAGTGTAGTACTTGCTTGCCATGTAAAAACCATCATAACACGATTTATATTTATTCACTCTTTATATCAATAAAAGAAATAAGGCAAAATATTGTTTCAATGTTATTACTGATTAACTGGCAGTTAGCATTTGACCTTTATGTGCTGTGATAGTACAATACAAGAACTGGGATGTCACAAGCATTAGAAACACACTGGTGAGCCTCCAGAAAGAACACTGCCAAGTAGTGGAGGTCAGTGCCGATACCCAGGAACAAACATGCTGTACAATGTATACATACACAGTATATATGCCCAAAGTTTTACACTGAGCAGGATTTTAGATTCTCAATGGCCGTGTGCACGAGGCCTTTAAAGCAGAACTCTGGGCAAAATGTTTTATTTTCCCATGCAGTGGGACTGTGCGGTTCTCAAGTCCAGAGCCGGCCTATTGGCATGATGACATCAGGAACAGTCCATTCACAAGTACTCTAGCATGGGAGGGCAGGAGCGCCAGGGACCATCTTGCACTTGAAAGATCGGCAGGATTAGGTACGTATATTTCCACTCTCCAAACCCTTAGACCAGTGGTTCTCAACCTGAGGGTCGCGACCCCTTTGGGGGTCGAACGACCCTTTCACAGGGGTCCCCTAAAACTATCAGAAAACACATATTTCCGATGTGTAAAGAGCAGCTACTGTGTTGAAAGCAGCTGCTGTGTTGAAAGCAGCTACTGTGTTGAAAGCAGCTACTGTGTTGAAAGCAGCTACTGTGTTGAAAGCAGCTACTGTGTTGAAAGCAGCTACTGTGTTGAAAGCAGCTACTGTGTTGAAAGCAGCTACTGTGTTGAAAGCAGCTACTGTGTTGAAAGCAGCTACTGTGTTGAAAGCAGCTACTGTGTTGAAAGCAGCTACTGTGTTGAAAGCAGCTACTGTGTTGAAAGCAGCTACTGTGTTGAAAGCAGCTACTGTGTTGAAAGCAGCTACTGTGTTGAAAGCAGCTACTGTGTTGAAAGCAGCTACTGTGTTGAAAGCAGCAGTATTGGAGGTAAAACGACACTCATGAATTATAATTACTGGGTAAATAATTATATGGTTGGGGGTCACCACAACATGAGGAACTGTATTAAAGGGTCACGGCATTAGGAAGGTTGAGAACCACTGCCCTAGACAAAAACAAGCAGTTAACCCAGGCACAGCCCCACTGCATGGGAAATTAAATATTTTATCTGGAATTCTTCTATAATTATTTATTCCAACAAATGCTATGTGCATTCATGAGCTATGAAAAGTAGCAGAGAAGAATACTACACATGGGACCCATTGCGAATTCACCCTTTCATATCTTTAAGTTGTACTTAAAAATATGGCCTTGATAGCCACAAAGGATATAAATCCACTCTGAGTGCACCTAATACTTTGCAAAGTCAGATATTACTTTGTAAAAGTAGCAATAACACTAGTGTGCTGTGAACAGCCTGTGCAGAAAGCAACATTGTGGGAGGGACCAAGGAGGCTCCACCCACTTCAGGCTGCCTACAGAAAACTAGCAGAGGGGCTGAATACAAGACCAGTCACCTTGCACAAGGGGAGAACAACAGTGACTGCCCTTTATTAAACAGATCTAGAAAAAAAAAAAAAAAAAATGCAAAAAGCACATTGTGGTTCAAGTAAGAATACGCATGACACTTGTATTTAAGCAATCATTTTTTTATCTTGA